TTACGTAGCTCTGTGGAGAACTCTTTTCCAGACTAAAAGATCTTCTAAAACAATAACAACTAGTGCTAACTGTAACGGGAACTGTTTCAGATGTTCCCCAAACACTTCCCCATTCTCTTATGGGCCCCATTCATTACAGGCTTCATTTCATTATGCAATTCTTTTGTTTAATAAATCTATACTTTATTTTCAGTAGTATTTATTCGAAAAACAACACTGGTATAGTTATTCGAGTATTAACCAATTGGATTTCAGCGCATGCTAGGCCTGAGTATCGCAAACTACCTAACGATACGATACATATCATGATACGGTCATGTGATATACAACATGTACCATGATACAGCTGTCACCAATTGAATTAAGCTTTATCTAAACATATAATTCTTTGCTAACTCCACAGTTATAGAAAATATACAAAGAATATCTTGATAACCCTTATCAAAGTTAATAAAAGGTGGATTTATAGTCTTGATATTGTATTTTTTCTTTGCTACCTTTTTTAGCCATTTTAAAACATTAAAATTTGTTAGGTTTAATGTAGAAGTTACAAACAAAACAATGAAAATTATCTTCTACTGTATCACAATACATACATGGCAATACAATACGCGTATCGTCAGCCCTTGCGATCAATACGATCGATGTATTGCTGTATCGTTACACCTCTAGCGCATGCACATGCCCGTATTTTCTAAATATTTCATATTCCTTCCTCGTGAAGAGACTCACAATATATAGCTATGTAAGAAATCTAAAGATTTTCATTGAAAACTATGAGAGGTACAGCCATATAAGTATTAGCAAATCAGAATCCATGTTCTTGCATTCAATTTTCATAGTAGCACAATGTAGGAACCCATTACACCTATCTATATTCTGAATTCCATCCAGTTTTGTTAAAAACTAAGAAAGTTACTACTGTAACAGCCATTTAAAGTTTAAGCCAATCAAATTGCAGCACACTTGCATGAGCATGTTTTCACAATATCTCATACATTATATCAAAATGTAGAGCCTTGTTGTGTATGACTATGTTTTAAATTTCAAAGCATTTCATCAAAAAACACAAAGGTTACATGTATTGAGATTTTTTGTGTCAGTCAAACAGAGCAAAGCACACATGCATGCACAAGCTTTCTTGCTAATTCAACCACCTCTTCTTGTCTACACCACTAATATAAGTCTATACAATGAAGTTCAAAGCATATCATAAAAAAACAGGAAGGTTAATGGTGTTTCAATTGCTTCAGTAATTTCACTCCTTGCACGCGCACGCATGTGCATGTAAGTGTGGGTAAAATGACCTTCCTTCTGCACATCTACACAACATGCCTGTTAACCCTAAAAAGGTTTCATCTCAATCAGTTGATTAGTTTCTGTGATGACAGAGAAAGAAGCATTAAAGCTTCCAGACTGTCTCAACATGGTAAAGATCTATGGCTGGCATGAGATGAAAATGAAGAAGCAATGCTGCTTTAGGTCAATAGACATATGCAAGTTTATAATTCCATTGGGACATGTCTAATTATCCTATCAATTAGAAATTTTGCATAGCTGTTTTATTTGTTCTTGTTAAAATGTTGACAAATTTTCATGAATTTATGTCTTTCTTTTATGGAGTAAAAGTAAATGTCTCATTAATTTGGAAATAGCCCTTATATAGCAAAGAAAAAAAAAATCCACAAATAGTAAGAACAATACAGAATAGCATTTATCATATAAAATCTGACAATAGATATATGATTCCCCACCCTTCAAAGCTAAAGTGAATTATAAAATTGAAATTAACAAGAAGTCTGTGAGCCAATGTTCACTAGTAATACCCCTGCTTTGATGTGAATATACATTCTGATGTGAATATACACAAGTTCAGTTATGGACAGACACAAGGGTGAACAAGAAGTTGACATCGGATTCGTACAAAAATGAATCCCACCATATGACATGCCTAAACAAAGAATGTGCTAAAATTTCAAGCATCTGCAATCAGTAGTTGCTGAGAAAATTGGGACCAAAATTTGTTACGTATGGTACGGACAGACACACGGATAAACAGGAAGTTGACATCAGATTCGTACAAAAATGAATCCCAACATATGACATGCCTAAACAAAGAGTGTGCTAAAATTTCAAGCATCTGCAATCAGTAGTTGCTGAGAAAACTGCAACCAAAATTTGTTATGTATGGTACGGACAGATGCACGGATAAACAAGAAGTTGACATTGGATTCATACAAATATAAATCCTACCATATGGCATGCCTAAACAAAGAATGTGCTAAAATTTCAAACATCTGCAATTAGTAGTTGCTGAGAAAACTGCAACCAAAATTTGTTATGTATGGTACAGATGCACGGATAAACAGGAAGTTGAAATCAGATTCGTACAAAAATGAATCCCACCATATGGCATACCTCAACAAAGTGTGTGCTAAAATTTCAAACATCTGCAATTAGTAGTTGCTGAGAAAACTGCAACCAAAATTTGTTATGTATGGTACAGACAGATGCACGGATAAACAGGAAGTTGAAATCAGATTCGTACAAAAATGAATCCCACCATATGGCATACCTCAACAAAGTGTGTGCTAAAATTTCAAGCATCTGCGATGAGTAGTTGCTGAGAAAACTGTGACGAAATATTTGTTACGGACAGACAGACAGACACACAGACAGACAGACACACTAGGGTAAAACAGTATACCCCCCTCTCCTTCGGAGTGGGGGTATAATTAAAATAATTATTTTTAATAAATATATCTTTATCCCAGATGTCTTCCAAAAGAGATTTCAGTCTCTCTTCAGTCTGTATCGATACTTTTGGTATACCCATCCTGATGTCTTTTCATTGTATTTAAATTTCAGTTTGTGTGGTTATATTGCATACAGTTTCAAAGTACAGTGTCATGAGCTCATATACAGTAACATGTGATATAAATGCTAATTATCAAAATCCTGCCTCTCAAAATCAAAAAAAAAAAATAATAATAATAATAATAATAATAATTCATTCAACCGCCAGAGTGATTTTATAAAGCCAAAGGTCAAGGTCAACTGAATTGTAATGTAACGAACTCACTTGCATTGAACTCTCTTTGTTTGAAAAATCAGTTTGTTTGAAATGAATTTGGTTTCTCCTAAAATGCTGGTGCAGTTTCTTTGCAATAAATACTCGTTTAGATTGAAATCGGTTAACTTGAAAAACTCTGTTAATTTGAAGTGATTTTGGGGTCCACTGAACACAAAGCTTATAGCAGTTTTGATAACGGGTACATTGAAGTTGCCAATTGCGACGAGTGGACTCGGGTGACTGACTATATACGACTAGCACGTGTTAATTTTTCAAAGGTGATTTGATGTTGGTGGACCTGTACAAATTTAATTATGTGTTGTATAGATAAAACAATAATCATTGAGCATTTCTCACCGGAACATATTAGTCGCCATTTTTATTTTCTAACTATGGCATTTAGACTGACATGGATAAAATATGCAGGGGTGTCATGTGTAAATTGGTGTGTGGAGAATAGGGCTGTGTATTGACCAAAATATTTCGATAAGATATTTTATAAAGCAATACTTTTTTCGTGTATAAATAGTCTTGATAGTTTTCTAACACAAATCAAAAAAAAAAAAAAAAATAAAACAGTAAAAAAAATTTAGGACTTTTTTGAAAAATAGAGATAAGTACATTTCTGAAACACTGCATGTAATGTTATGTAAAAATATGAATTCTCACATGTATATTTTTTTTTACTGTACAGTCAAGCCTCGTTACCTTGAACTTGAAGGGACCGAGAAAAAACTTCGAGATATCTGAGGATTCGAGATATCGAGGGTAAAATATTTAAAGAATAAGTGGTTGGGACAGCAAATCACTTTGACATATCCATGGTATTCAAGATTAATAGAATCATTCATTACTACGAGTGTGGGATAGTGAAATTCCACCAAGGGGACAAGATTCACGGTCTAGGACGAGGCTTTGCCGAGTCCTAGACCGTGAAACTTGGCCCCGAGGTGGAATTTCACTATTCCCACACGAGTATGTAATGAATGATTTTTTTTCTCGCATTATTTTATCCAAAATAACGGCCTTCAATGACGTCGCCATAATAGGGCTAAAAATATATTCTTTTAATTTTCCATCTAATTAAAAATCTAAATACACCATCGGAGAGAGCGTACCTGAAAATGGTTTACACATAGTGTAAACTGATAAAATGAATTTCAGTCCATGTAAATTAATTAGATAGATAAAAACTGGGAATAAAAAAACTTATCTATCCGATAGCGTACACATTCATTCAAGAAGAATCCTTCCGCGATCTAAAAATAGTGCCATTTAAAAAGTGAAAATACGACAATATTTTGAATGAAAATAAGTTTATCTTAATAAGTTAAATGACAACATTTTAAGTATATGTAATATTTTTTTAACATTGTTACAATTTCTTTATATAAAGACGGAATGTTTACGTTATCGTTCGCGGCGTAGTAATACACAGTGTAAGACAGAAAAATCTCACACTGCTGTCTCACACCAGACAAGTCAATCTCACACTGGTAATTATGCGAGAAATCAGTGTTCCAGATAACGAAGTTCAACTGTATCTACATTTTTTATGTAATTCATAGCACACAGATATAATGAAATTCGGTTAATTTGAAATAAATCTCAAAGTCCCTTAAATTTCAATGTAAACGAGTTTGACTGTATATGGTATTTTACAAAAGCAAAAGTGCCAAGCAATGCAAGTGCAAAGTATCAAATCCATTCCTCTTACAGTTCTCAGGATCTAGGGTATGACAGACAGACAGACACCATGTAAAGTGATCTCTAAGTGTCGCTTTTACCAAAATTTTTTTTTCATAATTTGTTTTCTTACCTCTCTGAAGAGCATGACAAAGGTTACATAGGTGATAGGTAGAAATACATGCATTAGATGTATTGGTATAATCCTTTTAGTGAGTAGATTGCATCATGCATTGTTTACCTGCCATTGCTGATCTTTAACAAGGGAGACTTCTCCTGAAATAAGAAAAATTCAAAAGTGAAATTACCTGTTACTCTTAAAGGGACATAGACACAGATTCGACATTTTGAAATATTTTCTCAAATTGTCTGTATTATATCATGACATATATGTGGCTATAGCATTTCACATGGAAATATAATAAAAAACTTATTTTATCTGTGAATTATTGAAACTATGAATTTCGGGATGCGTTTGATTGACATATCACATAAGGATGAAGTTTACTTTGTGAAAGTGCAAGGATGTGTCAATCAAATGCATCCCTAAATTCGTAGTTTCAATAATTTCCAGGTAAAATAAGTTTTTTTATGATATTTCCCTGTGAAATACTATAGCCACACATATGTCATGATCTAGTCGAAAATTTGAGAAAATATTAACTTCAAATCTGAGTCTATGCCCCTTTAAAGTTCATACACAAGGAAATAATTTCACTACATTTTACTATAAAGCCTTGATTAAATTAATCAATTAATATGACCCTCACTAGATAAAAGATGAACTTCAAGAAAAAATGAATGATGCTTGGACAAAAATTTGAGATAAGAAATAAAATATATTCCTTATGCAGCTTTTAATAGAAAAAATTGATATTATTGATAGGTAAGATACCTTCAATCATGTGGATTTCACATGCTGATAAACAGTTTACACACCATCCAGGAAGTTGCATCATGAACACCTAAATAAAGAGTATTCCTTAAATTCATTGATTGCCCACAAGTATAATATTCCTAATATTTGAGTCAAAAATAAATACTGTAGGCCTAAAATGAGAAACCGAAAAAGAAAACCTGAAAAAAAATTCTCTTTCTACAAACAACAACAACTGACTAAGTTCATTTTGATTTGCTATTCCTGGCTCTAAGCTAAGCATGGCATAACAAGGGTCTACTGGAAAGAAAGGGTAAATTATTCATATGGTAAAAAATTAACAAATCAAACTTTGTAAATAAATACCCAAGCATTTGGTTTTGTCTTTGATTTCGACAAAATGTTATTGATCTCCAAAAATTTCTGTTTATGTGTGCTGAGCCACAGTAAAATTTTAAATGTTGTAGAACTGTACATGTGTATCCATATCTAGATTCAGTAAGAAATTTCTAGTCATTTGACAAGTTAATTTCAAAGTTATACCAAAGTTTGATTAACAATGTTATGGTTAATAAAATATTATCCAATTTATGCTTATAATTATATTATCAAAGTGCAATTTGTCAAAGTAAAAGAACAAGTGGCCATGGGCAACAATGCTCACCAGAGTCACTATGGCCTTGCTGTTCTACTTTTCTTTTTACTACACATGATGATGTATATTTATTCATATGTAAAAATTTGATTGTCCATTGTGGCCCCACCCTACCCTGGGGGGTCATGATTTAAACAAACCTGAATGTACACTAAGTAATGAAGCTTTCAGAGAATTTTCATTATCTGGCCCACAGTAATGAAGCTTTAAAATTCACAGAAATTTCATTTTCTGGTCCACTGATTCTTGAGAAGAAATTTTTTTAAAGATGCCATTAAATTTACAACAATTCTTAATTATTTCCCCTTGAAAGAGGGTGTAGCCCTTCATATGAACAAACTTGAATTTCCTTTACCCAAGGATGCTCTGTGGCAAGTTTGGTTTAAATTGGCAAAGTGGTTCTGGAGAAAAAGATGAAAATGTGAAAAGTTTATGTGGCCGCCTCCAACAACAACAGTGACAGACAACAGACAAATTTTGATCAGAAAACCTCTCTTAAGCCTTTGGCTCAGGTGCGCTAACATAAAAGATGGAGAAATAAAATTTATTGTTAATGACAGTTTCACTTATGTATTTTAAAACTCTTTCTCAAATACCATGGATATGTCTAAGTGCTCAAGTTCAGTGAGTTTATGAACTTTACCCTCTATTCTTGAAACCTCAATTATCTGTTTCTCAAAGGGTTTTTTTTTTTCAGTCCCATCTATTGCCATAATAGGCTTATCTCCAGGGGGTCCTCATGACTAGCAATTACATAAGCAATAAGGTTTTTGGATATAAATATATTAAAATAAATAAAACTGAATAATTAAATGACAAGATATGCATTCGACATTGGGTGACACAATTAGGGAAAATATTCTGGCATGTTACCCTCGAAGTAAGTGATGTGAAATTTACTTGTCTGAACATAACTTTTACTTGTATGAAAATATTTCATAAAAGACCTATTTAACAATTTGAAAAAATATTGTTACAGTACATTACAATAGTCTATAATACATTCATGGAGTCTGTTTTTGAGATTTCGAGTGGACACATCTATTGCAAATTACTAAACTGTATCATCCTATCCTAAAGTAGATGTAAATCATGTTATATAATTACATGTATGAAAGAAAAATAGTAACAACAAGAAATAGCTGACTATATGACTTCAAATTTTTCTTTGCCTTCTTTTGCTTATCCTTTGTAGCCTAAATTGTCTTTTGCTAAAGCTCTCCTGCCAGATAATAAAAACCCAAATTTCCTTCAGTAAAAGTACACATTTCAAAGTTACTGTAGTTCTAAGTAGTCAACTTCATGGTACTTAAAATATTAAAATTAAAATTGTGACAAATGCCTGAAAAACATCAGATATTTCAAACAAGTTTCATAGTAACATTGTTCCTGATCAAGTTTGACAACCAGGGCCATCATTATTACAAGCAGGATCAACATTTAACTATTTACAACCACATGCATGGCATGTTTTCATTTTGAACCTCCAATAAAAAGTTGACAACAAATTTTAATTCTTTAAGTTTTCATGCTCAGCTATAAAAAATTCTTCCTAGAAAAATATCCCTTGTCAAATCGGACAAGTGGTCAGCAATTATCACTTGTTCATGAAAAATTTTACTGGTACATGTACTGGACAAGTGGATGAGCGTACAATGTCGAGCCCTGGAACTATGCCCCATTTTTTGTTTACATTTGCTTAGCAACCAACAGCATTAAATCTCGAACCCGAGCTATTATAATATGTAGCATAAAAGCACATGAGGATGATCAAGAGGGTGTTACAACTGTTTCTGTTTTGTTGTATTTGTTTCTGGCATTTGTTATTAACTGTTTCTGATGTGATGTGAATTCTTCATGGTATATATAGTGAAACTATATTTGTGATAAAAACATGATAAAAAAAATTATTAAAAAATGTATTTCAAAAATGTAATTACTAAATGATACTAGTAGTATAAAAAATCATTTTTAAGCATTTCAGTGTAGATTATAAACATCGCACCTAATGGGTCCTAGAAAAAACTTTGTGATATCCTACAATTCAAGATACTGAAGTTAAAATATGTACTTGAAGCATAGCATAAATTTTCCATCTTTAACGCTCAGTTATACCTTGATAAATATTGCTAATGAGAGGAGGAGTGCAATTAATATTTCTATCTTCATGATAACACAAATCTAAATAAGTCAGTTAATTTTATAGCTAATTTAGCCTTCATTAAGTTCAACAAATTTCTTTAAATCTGTTCAGAATCAGACAAGTAAAAAATATTTATGCATTCGGACACAGGGTTTAACATTTATAAGGCATGTCTGATCGACACTGACTAGTAAAAGTTTGGTCCTGTCTTAAAATTGAGTGTACGTCTGACATGTAAATATAACAAGTGTGCAGCATGTATGTTTTATTCATCTGCTCTCATGTACACACAGGATTCGAAATACCCCAAACTGTAGGGGTCTACAAATACAGTCATGACTTTAATGATTTTGGGTTAAAATCAAAAACAAGTAATTGTAATTGGAAGTATTCTATCAATACTAATATGTCAAGTTTCATCTACCAATATAATGCTACGACATTGACGAGAAAATACCATGCGTTTTCTACATGGGCATTTCTTCAATCAATTTGTTTATGTACCAGTATAAATTTATAAGAATCTTCTTGGGTTTTAATGTGATGAAGGAGGGTGCATTTAGTCACCAGGATGTTGTAACACGGTCTTAAAACTCTTTAATAGCTTTGGGGCATGAACTACTTTTAAATTAGTTAAATAACCTAACTGCGTCTCCAGACGAGCTCTCACCACACCTCTCTTAAACCGGGTCTGAAACACATTATTATTTTAATGATTAGAAAATTCTATCTACAACTACTTCCTCTTCCAGATGACTCCAGTCTATTGCAGTGCAAACAAAAAATGAGTTTTTATATTTTTTGGTTTTGGTGTTTGGTATCTCCACTGCTTTACTGTTGTTACAAGGATTACAGCAAGTTAAACTATGAATTAAATTTTTTATTTTATACATACATGTGTACCATGCATGTTCATGACTTGTTGGTTGTCAAATGTGTGGATATGTCATGCGAGGAACAGACGTAACTGTGCAAGGTAAAATACCATTAGTCGTGAAGCGCGGGTTTGTGACATTCGGAATACAGATGTATTTCTGCTGTTTGAGTAACCATACACCACTTTGTGTGCGGTTAGGCATGGATAAGTATGATTACTTCACATTGTGCTGAATAATTACCAATCAATTATCAAGTTTACCTGAACTGATCTTCTTTGTTAATCATTCAAGAAGTAACTGTTTGGTCACAAATTAACTGAGTGTTGTATATAGCCCTAAAACTTTTATAACTTTGAGTGCAATTGCGCAGAGAAAGACACATTTTCAAGAGAAATTTTTTCATGAACATGATGAATTGTTTTCAGACGAGCTAAAAGTTGAAAATTATCACTGCACGAAAGTGCGATTTTCTGCACATCTTGAGAAAAAAGCTAATTAAAGAAATAAGTTTCATTTAGTAATTAAATAAAACTACTTCAGGTAGGTAAATAAAGCTATGTAGGTAATTCAAGCTACGTAGCTAAAACTAGTGATTGTACCAGCTAAATGACTGTGTATCAGTGTATCGTCCAAGTGTAGAATTGTAGATATCTTTTCACTAAAACTTTGAATTTGATAGATTTGAACTTAGGCGACTAACCGTATGTTTCTTACACATTCTTCTAATACTTCCACAACAAAACACTCGCCGCAACCATTCTTATTAGTCATCCTAAGCTTCCTCAGTCCTCGGTCGGAGCCTGTACTGCCATTTTGGTTGGCTAAATAACCCGACCCACTATTGTTTCGTAAATTGCCAACCCGTTTTTTTTTTTTTTTTTTAAATACAGAACATTTAATTCTAATAAATCAGATCTTATTTCCTCTGGTAATCCATCACATTTTTTCAGACCAGCTGTACAGCATTTGAAGACAGAATAAAAAGATAAATATTTATTTATAATTGCCATGTCGAACCTCGTATTAGTCGATGCTGAAGAAAGAAGGTGATGAGGACGGAAATGCACAATTCATTTATTTTATTGATTAATCCTATTGCAAGTAATTTATGATAGTATCGTCATGATTTTTTCATAAATATGCAATACAGAATTAAAAAGTTTTGAAATTATTGGTAAATAAACATGATAAATGGCAATATTGATAATGTATTTTTTATCACCCTGTACACATACTGAGTTAGATATGGCAAGAAATTGGTACTGCGTTTTTAGGTGATACTTTTGTACCCTAGGGTACACCCTTATGAAATGTATGGACAAAAGGTTACAAAAAGGGTACACTATTAAGTCCTACTGAAATCGAAAGTAGATGTTCCACAGTAGTGTGTAAGAAATAGATACAAAGGTTTAAAAGACTGAAATTTTCTAAGTTAAAATTCCAAATAATTGAGCTGATGCTCAGGGTACAGTGGTTACACAGGGTACACTTGGGTACAGCAGGTTACAACACTGTAAGAAATGGATACAAGGGTAGATTTTCAGAAACGCAGCTGAAGCTCAGGGTACAGTGGTTACAAAGGGTACACTTGGGTACAGCAGGTTACAACACTATAAGAAATGGATACAAAGGTTTAGAGGACTGAAATTTTCTAAGTTAAAATTCCAAATAATTGAGCTGATGCTCAGGGTACATTGGTTACACAGGGTACACTTGGGTACAGCAGGTTACAACACTGTAAGAAATGGATACAAGGGTAGATTTTCAGAAACGCAGCTGAAGCTCAGGGTACAGTGGTTACAAAGGGTACACTTGGGTACAGCAGGTTACGACACTATAAGAAAAGGATACAAGGGTTTAGAAGCTGACATATTCTAAGTTAAAATTCCAAATAATTGAGCCGATGCTCAGGGTACAGTGGTTACACAGGGTACACTTGGGTACAGCAGGTTACAACACTATAAGAAAGGATACAAGGGTTTAGAAGCCGAAATATTCTAAGTTAAAATTCCAAATAATTGAGCCGATGCTCAGGGTACAGTGGTTACAAAGGGTACACTTGGGAACAGCAGGTTACAACACTGTAAGAAATGGATACAAGGGTAGATTTTCAGAAACACAGCTGAAGCTCAGGGTACAGTGGTTACAAAGGGTACACTTGGGTACAGCAGGTTACGACACTATAAGAAAAGGACACAAGGGTTTAGAAGCTGACATATTCTAAGTTAAAATTCCAAATAATTGAGCCGATGCTCAGGGTACAGTGGTTACACGGGGTACACATGGGTACAGCAGGTTACAACACTGTAAGAAATGGATACAAGGGTTTAGAAGCTGAAATTTTCTAAGTTAGATTTTCAGAAACACCGCTGAAGCTTGGGGGTACAGTGGTTACAATGGGTACACATGGGTACAGCAGGTTACAACACTATAAGAAATGGATACAAGGGTTTAGAAGCTGAAATTTTCTAAGTTAAAATTCCAAATAATTGAGCCGATGCTCAGGGTACAGTGGTTACAAAGGGTACACATGGGTACAGCAGGTTACAATACTATAAGAAAGGATACAAGGGTTTAGAAGCTGAAATATTCCAAGTTAAAATTCCAAATAATTGAGCCGATGCTCAGGGTACAGTGGTTACACAGGGTACACTTGGGTACAGCAGGTTACAACACTATAAGAAATGGATACAAAGGTTTAGAGGACTGAAATTTTCTAAGTTAAAATTCCAAATAATTGAGCTGATGCTCAGGGTACAGTGGTTACAAAGGGTACACTTGGGTACAGCAGGTTACAACACTGTAAGAAATGGATACAAGGGTTTAGAAGCTGAAAATTTCTAAGTTAGATTTTCAGAAACACAGCTGAAGCTTAGGGGTACAGTGGTTACAATGGGTACACATGGGTACAGCAGGTTACAACACTATAAGAAATGGATACAAGGGTTTAGAAGCTGAAATTTTCTAAGTTACAATTCCAAATAATTGAGCCGATGCTCAGGGTACAGTGATTACACAGGGTACACTTGGGTACAGCAGGTTACAACACTATAAGAAAAGGATACAAGGGTTTAGAAGCTGAAATATTCCAAGTTAAAATTCCAAATAATTGAGCCGATGCTCAGGGTACAGTGGTTACAAAGGGTACACTTGGGTACAGCAGGTTACAACACTTTAAGAAATGGATACAATGGATTAGAAGACTGAAATTTTCTAAGTTAAAATTCCAAACAATTGAGCTGATGCTCAGGGTACAGTGGTTACACAGGGTACACATGGGTACAGCAGGTTACAACACTATAAGAAATGGATACAAGGGTTTAGAAGCTGAAATTTTCTAAGTTAAAATTCCAAATAATTGAGCCGATGCTCAGGGTACAGTGGTTACACAGGGTACACTTGGGTACAGCAGGTTACAACACTGTAAGAAATGGATACAAGGGTTTAGAAGCTGAAATTTTCTAAGTTAGATTTTCAGAAACACAGCTGAAGCTTGGGGGTACAGTGGTTACAATGGGTACACATGGGTACAGCAGGTTACAACACTATAAGAAATGGATACAAGGGTTTAGAAGCTGAAATTTTCTAAGTTACAATTCCAAATAATTGAGCCGATGCTCAGGGTACAGTGATTACACAGGGTACACTTGGGTACAGCAGGTTACAACACTATAAGAAAAGGATACAAGGGTTTAGAAGCTGAAATATTCCAAGTTAAAATTCCAAATAATTGAGCCGATGCTCAGGGTACAGTGGTTACGAAGGGTACACTTGGGTACAGCAGGTTACAACACTTTAAGAAATGGATACAATGGATTAGAAGACTGAAATTTGTAAGTTAAAATTCCAAACAATTGAGCTGATGCTCAGGGTACAGTGGTTACACAGGGTACACTTGGGTACAGCAGGTTACAACACTATGAGAAAAGGATACAAGGGTTTAGAAGCTGAAATTTTCTAAGTTAGATTTTCATAAACACAGCTAAAGCTTAGGGGTACAGTGGTTACAATGGGTACAGCAGGTTACAATACTATAAGAAAAGGATACAAGGGTTTAGAAGACTGAAATATTCTGTTAGATTTTTCAGAAATACAGCTGATGCTCAGGGTACAGTGGTTACACAGGGTACACTTGGGTACAGCATGTTAGAACTCCGTAAAAAATGGATACAAGACTTAATTTGAGTTTGATTTTCATAAACACAGCTTAAGCTAAGGGGTACAGTGGTTACAATGGGTACAAATGGGCACAGCAGGTTACAACGCTATATTAATATTCATCAATGTTTTGGATTGCTTGGTAATACTTGAAATGGACTGTATAGGAAACAATTTTTTTAAAGCTATTGGGCAAAGAAAAAAAAAAAGAAAAAAAAAAAGAACCAGATTATTTAGTAAGCCATATTGAGAATGTTTGCCGGTATCCATTTATTATGAAAAATTACTAAAAAATTATTGATACCGTTGCCCAGCTCTTGCCACGTGGAGGCCTTCTCATCAAGAGCCATAATTTTGAATGAAAAATTTAAACCCAAACTACCTAGAATTATGCTTTAAAAAAATTGCTCATTGAGTTAAATAAACCAAATGATATCGAAAAATATAATGAATAAAAAAAATTATAAAAAATGAAAAATTTAGAATTAAAAAAATAAAACTGTTTGGTCTATTAAGGCAAAGTGAAATTTAGTTAATTTAAAAAAAATAATTAAAATCCAATTATATTTATAATTTTAAAAAAAAATGTTTGGCCTATTTAATAAAGGAAAGTGAAATATTGATAATTAGACAAAAAAATCCTGGAAAAAAAACTGTGTTATTGATCAAGAGCACAATTACAAACCAATAAAATCTCTGAAGGCAATGTTCTACCGTTCCTTACTTTTAAAGTTAAAAAATTACATAGATATGATTTGAAAAGGAAAATATGTAACAAAGTTAAATGAACCATGCATGCAAAAAATAGTAATGAATCTAAGTAAACTAGTATATTTACATATTTACAAAAAGAATGCCAAAAATAATATCTTAGCTGTCAGGTTTGCATGCTGCACAATGCCACACTGAGTCTTCCTTCAGCTGGAAATACTCCTTGTTGGTCATACTGGTGCATTTTCGATGAAACCATTTCCCACAGGAGTCACACCCAATCCAATGCAAGTATTTGCTGCCCACTTTCTTGCATTTGAAGCATGTCTCTGTCTGGAAGTAATAATTATATTAGCATGTCAATAAAAATCAAAGAAAAAAAATTCTGTGATTTATCGGGACATTTTATCATAGTGGATAATTTAATAAATATGATACCTCTGATTGGGATTTCCTGACTGGAAAGGGTAGCTGTGGAGATGGTTTGCAAGTTGGGACTGCTGTAATTTAGATACGTTAAGATAAATGTAGTTTAGTTTAAAAAAAACAAAACAAGTATGAATTATTCTTTTATCTTTTATCAAGTATGAATTATTCTTTTATCAAGTATGAATTATTCTTTTATCAAGTATGAATTATTCTTTTATCTTCTAAACAAACAATATGTGAATTATGTTTTACCATCACAAGTTGTTGGAACTGGTGGGGTGTTGTCTTGTTCCTCTGTTGCCTCTACAGATGATGGAGTTGGGAGGGCTGAAATAGTTGTTTCTTATAATTTAATACCTGGGAATTTGCAATTTGGAGATTCTGAATCAGACATAGGAAATTGAAGTGGTACCTGCAGGTGTGTCTGGTACAGTTGGGGAAGATACCTCCATCTCATCATCTGTATGAAGAGCTGGTGGATTTGTTAGAGCTGCAATGAATTTTACTATGCTTTTAGACTTTTCTCTGATTATAAAGTTTCCCAGGCTACCAAATCATTGTATCTGATTATTATTTTTTTCCCTTTTAATGATTAAATTGTCTGAAAATGCATGGTACCTGGGGAGGACTTTGGTGCACAGGCCAAGGACCAAAGGGTTTCAGTGCCACAAGGGGTTGCAGATTCAAGGATATTTAGTTCCATTTGTTCCTCTGCCTGAAGAGCCGGTAGTCCAGAGGGAGCTGAAATTATTTTTAATTTTTCCACTGTGATAAAATCTTAGCAAATGAGATCAATATACATGGAAAATCTAAACTCTTTTAGTCATATATTTTGCTAATTTTAAAGTATTTAATTTAAACTATTACATAATCATTCAGAATGAAATATGGAACATTTAAAAGTTAGTGTGTTACCAAAGGCAGATGGCTCATCTATGGTTTCTTCTCTAAGGGATGATGGATCTTTAGAAGCTGAAATGAATGAGATTTAGTTGAGTACAATTGTGTTCTTGTCATCTCAAGTTTTTTTCTATACTATCTTATTCTCTATAACTTTAACTGAGAAGTGGTATACCTGCAGAAGTTTTTAAACCAGTTGGGGTGGTCAATTCCATCTCTTCTGTTGCATCATCTGGAGTGGTCAGAGCTGAAAGAAATTCATTTAAGACTAAGATTGTCGTACTACTTCTAATGCACAAGTGCAAGGGAAATAAAATCATACTCATTGGTCTACCTTCTCTTAGTATGGCAGCTGCCACAGTCTTCCACTGCTCAGTTGACATGACCCTCTTTGGAAGGAAAAGGCACTTCTTTGGTTTTCCATTCAGCCTGACACTGTGGTTTGTTTTCCCCCCAAGCTTGACCACTTCCTCCCTCACAGTTTTCTGCTTCACCTGGTCTGCCCTGACTGCCACATGGGAGTTAGTAACTATCGTTGCCACCTGATCCTCATGCTAAAAAGTGATTAAAGTGTAGATTGAAACAAAAAAGAACCAAAAAAAAAATTCTTTTCATAGTAAATTTTAAATCTAGGATTAAAGATTACTGTTTGTTATCTTCCCCCTTTTTAACCAAGTACTTTGTATATGTTCTCTGTCATTAAAATAAACTATTCTTAATATAAGGGGAGATTATATAATTCCATGAAGAAGATTTTTCTGTAGATTTTTTTTATGAAGAATTTGTCAAACACATACCTGGGAGTTGCACACTTCTAAAATGGTTGAAAATGCAGAATCCCCCAATGTCATGGTTTCTGCCCTGGTGACCTCTGCGCAGGTAGGCATCAGACTCTCCTGATAATATGGGATGAGGACCTCTTTGATGTAGCTGAGGACAGTCTTCATCAGATCATACCGCTGAGCAGCATTTAGGAGCTAAAACAATTATATAAACGTAAAAAAAATTAGGAGGATAGGATAACTGATTATAGTCTATATGAACTTTTAAAGAGTTCCATTTACTTGTAATGAATGATTATTATTTAAACAAATCATACCATCCTTGCTAGGACCATTGGCAGGGCAATTCCTTCAAGGATCCTGATGTCCATCTTTAGAAGAGACCGCAGGTTCGCCACCTCTTTGTTAACATCAGCAGCTCTCACTGAGTTGAGACTGCACAATACCACTGGGAGGGCTGAAGAGGCATCCCTGGCAGCATCTTCAAGGACTCTAGCATCCCCAGTGTTCTTCTGGTGTTTTGTCTTCTCTATCTTCATCACAAACAATCTGCTGAAGTACCTAAAGAAAGTGTACAAACATTAAATTAAAACTGATTTTTTGGTTTAAGGAAGTCTGATCCTCAGGTTCATAAATTAATAGTTAATTAGTCAAATATGCTCATAAAAATATCTGTAAATCAATAAAGTAATGTTAATTTACCCACAGTATTTCTGTAGTTAAACATTTATTTAATCATATTATATAGGAAAAATTGTCAAATTCATGAAAATCCTATTTCTCTAAAACTGTGTCTATTTTTCCTAAAAATGTCAGCTTTAATGAGACCCTTTATAAGACTTCTTAAAACTTAAAATCATATTAAGATGCATAGAATGAATATTGTTGCATGAAAATATATTAATTTCAAGCTGCATGTTGATGCTATTTAATTAGATAATATTTTTTGGAGTTATCCTTCCTGGCTGAGGATCAGATACCCGTAAGAGTTAAAATCCTTACTTATATGCAGCACTCAAATCAAAGTTTGCCGTCACAAGACAACCAGTAAGCGGCTTCCTGGTTTCGTCATTGGCCTTCCCTCGCACCTGTAAAGGGAAATAAAATAAAATTTGTATACATGAAGTTATAGATATTTTTGCATTTCATTTTTGTATGGAATAGGATACAACAAACACTTGTTTTACAGCATTTGTAAGGTTAATAGAACAAAAAATACTAGTAACTTGGAATAGGATACAACTGACACTTCTTTGACAGCATTTGTAAGGTGAACAAAATTAAAATTACTTACAGCCCCATTGCCAAGATCAATGGCCAACTGCGAAACCTCGTCAGTGGATGTTGGATCATCCCACACAAAGGGCAGACTACTTGATGTGAGCCAGGATGTTACAAATGCCAATGTACATCTGCCAGGAACAAGAACAAATGTATAAAAGTATGTTTTCACTTAACACCTAACAAAGGACAATAACTTTACCATTTAATATTTGTTTTGTTTTTTTTCGTTTTGGGATTGTTTTCTGTTCAGATAGCATTGTAACTACCTTGAAGCAATATGCAGCTCACTGCATCCATTCAGCCAGGCCGCACACTGTGCAATCAAAGTCTTTCCTGCCGTTGGAGGCCCATACAGGACGGGCAAGTTGAAATGCCGGAGTTCCTCCATCCACTTGGTGTACAGGTTTAGCCCATACATTGATGCCCAGGAAAGAATGGCTGGCCCTATGTTCTCGTGCAGAATGTCTTCAGCCCTGCCAAGGAACTCATGCAGAGCTTCTAATCCAGTGGGGACCTGGATGAGGTGGGCCAAATCCAGCTTTGGGCCCTTCAGCTGGCAGAGGTCACCTCTCAGCCATATGAGACTACAGTCCATGGGATGAATCTGAAAAAAAAATGATTCCATTACTAGTTGTATTGCTATAAGAAATCCCACTCTTTTAACATTTATCTGTGTGTATGAGTTCTTTTGTACTCCATGTCAAGATTAAAAAAGAAAATTTAAACACCTAATTTACACCAAAAATGAGAGTATAATGTTACCAAAGACCCTGTGGCAAGGTCAAGGATTTGAGTAGGGCTAAGGAATATAAGGGATGTTCCTTCCTGTCTTCCGGCATTGGCAACCATCTTCCTCCTGTAGGTGACAGATTGGGTCCTTCTCCTTGCCTCTAAGGCCAGATGTGCAACCAGCTGCAGGAGCTCAGACTGCTTAAAATGGCAAAGAAGGGTGCCAATACGGAAAGTTCTATTCAAAGCCGTCTGAAAGTCCTTAGGATTGTGTAGGTCCCCTGCCTTGAAGAATGCTTCCCTAAAAATTTTCAAAATTAACACCATTATATATGCGAAAGATTGAAATTTCAGTATGATTTATTAATAATTTTTAACCTTGGTTGAAGAAATATTACAAATCTCATTTTTACACTTTAAAGGAACAAGATATATAACTGTTTTAGGTAAACTATTAATAAAGATATTGGCAGTAAAAAATATTCGTAACATAGTTCAGATTTGAATAAGTTGACTAATAATGGTCCTCAGTATAAAAGAACAAGGTTCACTTAGGGCCTTTTTTTGCCCTGTGAATTTCTGAAAAACTGAAACTGCTTAGTTTTAGTTGACAATGCATTAAATTTCATTTAGACCTTTGGCGATTGCAAATCTACCAAAAATGACGTAATTTTCTGGCTAGTCAATGCATTATGACGTCATGAAATGCGTCATTTTCCTCATATCCTGAACAATTCTACAAAAACAGCCAATTTTTAAAGCTATTTTTCGATATTTAATATAGAGCGCAATCTCTGATCTAAAATATGCAATTATTTACTGATAGAACCGTTTCTGAGGTTTACAAAACATGATTTATTTTTTAGATCAGAGGGTGCGCTCATATTATTTTTCTTCTTTGAAAATACTTAAATATACCTGTTTTCCTTAAAATTCAAGAACATTGCAATTCCATAAAGCTTGTTTTCCAAGACCTGGACTTTAAGAAGAAAAATTTTAATAGGAAATGAAAGCACTAAGTCTCTACTTTATCTTGATGTTTGAAATGGAACATAGGGTTATAGTCAATAAATAGGTATATCTACAGGGCCATTTTATGCCTAAAGTGAACCTAGCTCTTCTGGCAAGACAATTCATGGGATAATTTGGAATAATTTTCTTGGAAGAGTTATCTCTCTTATTGGAGGGATATTAAACCTTAAGAACATAGCTTTTAATCATTCCTCTGGTTTGAGAACAGTGTGTGGCACTATTATTCAAGGAGCATATTGACATTGATTTAGATTCTATAAACTTTCAGTATTTTATCAAGTAGCAAAAAAAAAAACCACACACATACCCTTTTTGCCCATTGTCTGTTGTGACATCCACCACATAAATGGAATCTTGTGGGTGGGCAACCTCATACAAGATGCTGAACACAAAATTGGACCTCATGTGCCATCTTTTTCCAACCTTCACGTGCCACTGCCCGTCCGTGATTTTGATGTTTTCCATATTCCTGAAATATACTGTGTCTTTAGTGAGGACTGCAATGTGGTCTCAAGTCACTTATTCAAACATGAATATAATTTCAATATGCTATATATTTAATTCAAGAGCATAGACAATCAATTTTTAATAAAAATTCTCATAAACATTTCGGAGAATCTAGGGCAATTTCAAAAGTGGGTACCAGATACCCACTTTTAACTCAAAGACCTTAGATTCTCCAAAAAACCTTTATGGGGTTAAAAATTTTATTTCTGAAGTTATCTAAAGGTTCTTTATATCATTTCCTTCGTCTTTTCGAGACGAGAAAGGATATGTAATAAGATTTTTTGTAGGGTACATAATAAAAATTTCAACCCCTAAACTCCTTTGAATTTGGTCTTAGAAAATTTTCAGTGCGCTAATTAAAGTGCTTTTTGGGGCTGTTTTCTTTAAATTTCAAGCAGTATAAACATACTTTATATCATTATTTTCATCTTACAGAGCAGAAAACAATAATACCAAAGATATTATCATATCTTAATTTAAAGGGAGGTTTAGCCCATATTAGAAGTTTTCGGAGCACGTTAAAAAATTCTAAGTCCAAATTTCAGTTTTAAGGGTATAAAATTCTTAAAAGATGTTATAAGATTAAATTGATTACATATTCTTTCTCGTCTCATTGAGACAAAGAAAATGATGTAAAACACATGGGGATAGCTCTACATAGCTCTACTCCAAAATTGTAATTTTTCTGGCATTAAAAATTTAACAAGCAATAAAATCATTTGAAAGTAATGACATTTTTCTGAGTTTAAGCAGAATGGTTAAAATTATCTTGTTTATTCAGAAAATAAACTTAAAAGTGGGGGTCTGTGATGATAATTTTTATATATAACTAAAATAGTGCTAATTTTTAGCCTAAAATGGGCTATTTTTTCCCCAGGACTTTCACAATTGTCCAATATGATGACAGAATTCATGATGGTTAATTTAATATATTATCAGTGGATGACCTCTACGAACTAATTGGTTAAATACCTGTATATCAAGCACCTGCCTATTTATGTATGTCACATGTAAAATACAGAATCAACATTTTTAATATTATGGACATGCTCAAAACATGTTAATTTTAAAAATTCCCATACTCTCCAATACCAGTGTATTGGATTGCTCTCTGAACAACGTTGTTAGACACGCTTTGTTTATTTACATACATAGTCAGTCTTGTATATATGTTTGTTATGACTGACTTACAAGTACTTGTTCTTGTAACAAGCCCTAGTTCATTATTCTCTGTTTACTATCTGTTTTTTATTTTGATTACATCTACAATAGGTTTCAGCTTTTCTAGACAATATCAATATTTATATGTTTGCAAGCTACAACGTTGCTGTTTTTTTTGCTGCTTTATTTTATTTTCCCTCACCAACCCAAAACACTAGTTATTACCGATCATGGGTAATACTCTTGATCAACATCGAGCCGCAATAAGAATTTTTTTACCTCCGAAATAGATGCACAATCAAATCCATGACTTATTGTTTTTTCAGATTTATACATTTATTATCCTTGTTGTTAAAAGTGTACCAATGTTGTAAACAAAAATTCAAGGTTTGCATGAAATACGCAGTATATTTTCAGCATGTCAATTTTCTTTTTCAACTTATAAGCATTTTACTACTGTTGTCTGGGGATATTGAATCAAACCCTGGGCCTACAAATAACATAGTCCGTACTTTAGATATTTTTCATATAAACATAAGAAGTATAAGAAACAAAATTGAAAATTTAATATCATTTGTCAGTGATTATCACATTTTGTGTTTTACAGAAACACATTTAGATGCAAATATTGATGACAGTGCTATTTCAATTGAGGGGTTTTCTAAAAATTTTCGCAAAGATCAAAACTCATATGGGGGCGGTACACTTATTTATGTATCCGACTCACTTAGAGCTTTAAGACGTGCCGACCTTGAACCTTTGAACACTGAATGTATATGGATAGAAGTAAGCGATCCTATAAGTAATATTTACCTCTGTTGTCTGTATCGGCCTCCGAATTCTGACAAATCCTTAACATAATGTGGTCCATTGAAAAAGTTTCTGATATATCCAACAAAATAATAATCCTTGGAGACTTAAATGTAGATTTTTTAGATATCCCACGCACTCACATAGTTAACGAAATTTTGACTCAACATAGCCTTTGTAATATCATCAACGAAGCAACGAGAGTCATGAGTAGTTCGAGCACGCTTATTGACCCAATTCTAGTTAGCTCAGACATCAGAGTGCTTCACTCCGGAACTGTTCAGGTTGATAATTTTATAAGTGATCATAAAGGAACATATGTTTATGTTAAGTCAGATGTTATTCAAAATCAATCATACGAAAGAAAAGTTTGGTTATATAAACATGCAGATATGGATAAATTGAATTCTCTTATTGAAAATACTGACTGGAACACACTTATTAGTGAAGCACCGGATATAGATCAAGCAACAAATAATTTTACATCAACATTTTTGAATATTGTGAAGGAATGTATTCCTGAAAAATCGGTCGTAATTCGTCCAAAAGACAAACCTTGGTTTGATTCGGCTTTGCGTAAAACACATAGAACTAAAAAAAAGGTTATTTAATAGGGCTCAAAGAACAAAAAGAAACTCTGACTGGGAAAAATATAAAAAATGTAGGAACAATTTTAACAATATGAAAAAAATTGCGATCGAAAATTATTATAATAGCATAGAACACTACATTACAGATGCAAGTAAAAATAATTCGAAAATGTACTGGAAATTATTGAGAGATATATTTAAAGTTAAATCAACTACAGACATTCCCCCTCTACAGTATACTTCTATTAATGGTGATGCATCTATTGCTTTTTCAAATGAAGAGAAAATAGATGTTTTAAATGATTATTTTGCTTCTATTACTTGTATTGATGATAGCGATGTTGTGTTACCGGATTTTTTTTCTGCTTGCAATAGCACATTTGATAACATCTGTATTTGTGAACAAGAAATCATAGATATTATTTCAATTCTCCCTGTAAATAAAGCAATAGGCCCAGACAATATTAGTCACAAGATGTTGAAATCCACAATGTATACTATTGTAAAACTGTTATGTTTATTGTTTAACAGGTCATTAGTTGATTGTATTTTTCCTTGTAAATGGAAAGTTGCTAATGTTCTCCCTTTATTCAAGAAGGATGATCCTTCTGTTATGTCTAATTATAGACCTGTGTCATTGTTAAGTTGTATTGGTAAAGTAATAGAACGAATCATATTTAAACACTTGTATAATCACTTTCATGATAACAAACTTTTTTATAAATACCAAGCTGGATTTCTACCAGGTCACGTACTCCACTGTATATCAACTGATAGAAACATATGATACTATTGTTAAAGCTATTGACAACGGTGAACATTGTTGCATGATATTTTGTGATCTTTCTAAAGCTTTTGATCGTGTATGGCATAAGGGTCTCTTGTTTAAACTCAGAACTTATGGTATAGAAGGAAATTTGTTTCAATGGATAAAGAGTTACATAGAGGGTAGATCACAATGAGTTTTATACAGAAACTTATTATCTGACAAAAAACCTTTATATGCGGGTGTCCCTCAAGGCTCAGTGTTAGGACCTCTATTATTTCTTATATATGTAAATGACAAGTTTTTGTAGACTATTTGCAGATGATAACTCCCTTCAGCAGTCATCTAAAAATGTCAATACTATCGAAAACAAACTGAATTATGATCTTAACAAGCTAGAAATTTGGTCGAAAAAATGGCTTCTTAAATTCAACTCTTCTAAAACTAAAGCAATATTTTTCAACTTGAGAGGAAATGTTAATTATCCTAAACTCTTCTTCCAGTAGAGTCAGCTAGAATTTGTCTCTTCGCATAAACATTTAGGGATTTTTTTCTCACATGATCTTAGTTGGTCTACACATATTGATGCTATTCTAACTAATGCGTATAAAAAATTGGGCTTATTAAAAAAACTTAAATTTGTAGTAAACTCTTTTACTCATGTACACAACCTTTATTAGGCCACAATTAGAATATGCTTCCCTGGTGTGGGGTGAGTGTAATGTAGGTGATAGCGAAAAATTAGAAAAATTACAATTATGTGCTGCTAGAATTGTCACAGGCTTAACTCTGCACTTTATTTTGAAACTGGATGGGAACCATTACATGAAAGAAGGAAAAATACTAGATTAACTACAATGTACAAAATTTATAATAATCAAGTTCCTGAGTATCTGACTGATATAATCCCAAATTTGCGTTGTAATTCATCAAGTTACAGTACGAGAAATGCACATAACTATAACATACCCAAATGTAGATTACAAACCTATAAGTCAACTTTCATTCCCCTTGTTATTGATGAATGGAACTCATTACCTCTTGCTGTAAGAAATTCTTCCTCATTATCTATTTTTAAAAAATTTCTTATAATAAAACTATGCCACCCTCTTACTTCAGTTACGGAAATCGACGCTTAAATATATTACATACAAGGCTTCGACACAACTGTGTACTTAATAGCGATCTTTTTCGATGTAATATAATTTTGAGTCCTTTATGTTCCTGTGGAAGAGTGGAGGACTCTCATCATTATTTCTTCTCGTGCAAAAAATATACAGAAGCCAGAAAAGAATTTTTCGATAAATTTCTGCGAATGGGAAAATTACATACTGTCGATACTCATACATTACTCTGGGGAGATGAAACGTTAAACGATGTTGAAAATGAATACTTATTTTCTATTGTACAAATATTTATTAAAAAGTCAGGTCGTTTTGGTTGATGCAATAATTACTTCTTGCAAATTCTATACAGCTTGTGTATTGTATAATGTTTCTCTGATTATTATGCTTTTCTGTATTTTATTCATTTTAAGCTGAAACCCATATATGTAAATATGTTTGGTATAATTCATATGTAGGGAGAGGGCGTATTAAGTTTTAAGAAATTTTGCCCAATCCCAGTTGTAAAGTTTATAGACAATAAAATATGTTCAAACCACAGATGACAACTCAGGTGTGAAAATCCCAATTTTGGCTAAATGGGAATAAGAAATTTGAAATTTTTGCGAGGTGGGAATAAACCCAATAAATTATGTCCTATTTTTTAAATATCAAATATAAAAATTTATTATAAATTTAAAGACTATTTCTAATGCCTGTGTGGAAGAAATTACATATAAATGCATGTGCATATAAGTATACAATCACAACCACATTGTACCTTTATCTCAATCAAGAATTTATATTTTAACACAAGTGGTTATTAATTACTACAAGTATTTCTGCAAAATAAAATAAACAATTATTTTCATTCGTTTCATCTCTCTATTTTCATCAGTTAAGTATTAATCCAAATACATTCAATTGTTTATTACCAAAAAATTATTTATTCCCATGCATGTTGATGAATGAATTATTTATTCATCAATAAAAATTGTTCTTAACATTGTCTGTTTTTTTCCAAAATGTGATTTTTTTTTGTTTAAAAAATATTGATACATGCATGTGTATGTGTTTTAAAATTATTAATATGTAGAACATGATTAATTAATATCTTACAAAAAAATATTTATAATATGCATTATGATAATGATCTTGTGCACCACAGGTAATTATTACAGGTAATAAGCCTAAAACAGACTATACACAGATGACAACTCAGGTGTGAAAATCCCAATTTTGGCTAAATGGGAATAAGAAATTTGAAATTTTGGCTAGGTAGGAATAAACCAACACACAACCTGTATATTCCATGTAAGTTGTAGTGCTCAGTATAACAATGGGCACTAATTACCTATTGTTCCTCCGGGGCCATCACTTATTGAAATGTAATAAACAAATTTCCCCCTTTGCCAATCTGAGCAATTCTTCATGGATGCACCCCCTATCCCAAAAAAGTATTAATTTTTCAATAATATGGAAAATAAATAAATATAAATGGTAAAAGTTTAATACTTCAATAATATAGAAAATAAATGATATAGGTAAAAGTTTTTTTTTAATTTTTAACTATCAGTTTTCTCCAGTTACACATTTTGGAGAACAAGTTCTGTTCAACAGTACAGTTTTCTGTTCATTTTTTCTGTCACAGTTGGGCATGCTACATGTAACTCTTGATTCCCACCTACATTTTTCACCCATTGGACTCAAAACTTAATCAAATGCAAAGAAAGGTTTATTTAATTTAGCAATTGATTGATAATTTTTGTTTAACGCCAAGTCGGCAATATTTTAGCCATATTCAGCGATGAAATTCAATTGACTGATAAATTTAAAATCAGTTACATGATCTTAAATATAGTAATTTTTAGTCGGGAGGTAAAAATTTTATTTCGAATTTATTTGAAATATAAGGCATGGAAATGGATAAATTAACGTTTGTGATGCTTAATTATGTAAAATTCATGATCAGTAAAGTGCTTGTTTTAAAATGTGTACTATCATGTGAAATTGGTAATAAAATTAAATGACCGCTTCTAGATGTATGCTGATTTTGCTAACTCATTGCATAAGACACCTTTGAAAATGGACTTGGCAGCACAAAACTATCATCCTAGTTGTAATTTTTTTCCCCAGAGATATAAATTACCATTCACATATCATTATAATTCTGTGAAGTGTTGTCTGTAAATCTTTTGGTTTAAAGTTATTCGATAAAGAATTAAAATTTGGATTAAATAAAATTCTATCCAAAATAAAATTCTATCCAAAATATACAACACACCAAGGTGAGTTTTTTTTTTTTTCAAAAATCAAAAATATTATTCATTGTTTTCAGATGTCTGAAAGGTCACAAATTAAATAACAAAATATGCTCTATAGCATGCATATGTGTAAAGATACATAAATAATTACAATTATAGATGTACGAGGAGCATGTTTTATTCATACTTATTGTGTTGAAAAAAGTACTGCAAGTCATTTTAATAAATTAAAAATAAATAGAATATGACATATTTTGTCCTTGTCTAACACAATTTTTCAAAATCAGTAACCTTTTTTTCATAAGGCTTAAGCTATTCTTGATTTG